ACAATCGGATCCACTGTTGTCTATATTTCATCTCTCCATACGGCAAGGGGTAAGGGGTTTGGGTTTCCTGTCCTCGTATTTGAATAATGCCTTAATATTATTCAAATACGAGGACCGCATTTCATATGTTTGCAGATTATCTCAACTCGACATTCAGTTCATGAAACGATTGCATAAGAAAGTGAATATTGTGCCCATCATTGCAAAGGCCGACGCTTTGACCCCAAACGAAATGCATGCCATCAAGAAAAAGGTATGCATTCATTGAACATTGGATTTGTTTTAACCATTTGTATCTCAATTTAGATACTGAGAGAGTTTGATGAGCACGGGATCAGTATTTTCCGTATTCCTGAGTGCGATAGCGATGAAGACGAACAGTTCCGACGCAAAGATCAAGAAATAAAGGTTTGATTTTCTTTCAATTCTTTAAATTACTTATGATTTTAATGTTATTTCTTAATTAATTAGGAAAGCATTCCATTCGCTATTATCGGAAGCACTCAAACCATCGAACATCAGGGAAGACGAATTAGAGGACGAGAATATCAATGGGGTATTCATTCATTCACTCCATTTAGAAATGCAATGTTTGTATTGATTTTTCTGTTTTCAATGATTAGGTGTTGTCGACATTCAGGACGAAAAGTACAGCGACTTCATTAAATTGAGAACATTTTTAAGGTATTGTTTTAATTGTTGTAAATTTGTTAAAATTAATACCAATTAATATTTTGATTCTAGTCTTCATATGCAAGACTTAAAGGATGTGACGAGTGATGTGCTCTATGAGAACTATAGGGCCCAACATTTGGCTAAATTAAGTCAACAACAAGAGTATGTTTTCCTTTTTATTGTTGATATTTCAGTGATTTATTTCATTATTAAATAATGAATGTATTGTTTGTGTATTAATGGTAGAAACGACCCAAACATGACAACCGACAGACTCTTGATTATAAAACAAGAAGAGATTCGTCTAATGCAGCAGAAGTTGGAGGCAATGCAGGAACAGTTGCGCTGTCAGTCCAGCCAACCGGTCAGTAGTGCCGCACAAAGTTGTGACGATTTGTCTCCGTCTCGAGACGAAGAGTGAGCTCTCACTCAAAGATAAGTCAAACCAAAACCAAATAGTATTTACGGTACAAAAATTATAGCAACTTTTTTGCTACATTTTTCACACTTTTTAATTTATATGACATTCCGTTTCTGTGATTTTTATTAATTGTCAAAATGCATTCATTTTGTTATTTTATTGCAATATTTATTTCAACATAAAAACGTCAAAACAAACCATAGCTTTAAAATGGGAACGATTCTAGTTTTGAGAAAACTATTCAAATACTATTTTAGAAAATGTACTAGTTCACAAATAGGCAGCACACATGTACCAACCAATTAACGTTGATATTGCACATGCAATAAACGTGGTTATTGTTTCGTAACTAAACTTCTATCATATAAAAAGCTTATATTGAATATACAGTAATATAATATTGTATGATATGAACACACTTTGTTCATAACATTATAGACATCTTATACCCGATATTATACTGATTACCGAAAAAATTGAATCTTAAAGTGAAACTGATTCGCAATTTCTATTCAAATATATACTTAAGAAATATATTAATAAAAATAAGTTTTAAAATTTATTGTTACGACTCATAAAGCAAATGATGAAAATAGTTGGAGAATAAGAAATAGTTTGTATAATCAGTTGAGACGATGGGAATCGATTGGTTGCCAGTTATATGTGATGACTGTTATGAAGGCATCTCTACTTATACTTCGCTTCTAAACGTTAGTCTCGATGAAGAAGAAGAAGAATAAAAAACACTTTTTGTTGCATTTTTTGAGATAATGTTAACTCATTAGTGATGAGTCATTAGTTTGGGTTCTCTTTATTAAAAACCAAATCCCAAAGACATGAATGAAAATTGCGATAAAATTCAGTGATTCTTACGAAAAAAGTCATAATATTTGTGTCCCAATAGAGAGTAAACAAAATGATAACACAAAATGAATGCATATATAAATGTGAATTGAATTTCTTTTTTAATACATTTTCTAATATTAATATAATATAAAATACAATATATTTGTTCTCATTTTGATATTCAATTTTGAATATAATAATAGGTTTGCGTTTTTAAGTTATACTGTATTGTGAATTACAAACCATTTACTAGTCATTAGCTATTGATTTAATGATAAAAACAAATATTCATTCAATAATTAGCGTCACATACGATAAGCATGTCTTTTACTATAATAAATATAATTATATAAATATTAATTAGACTGCAATTAATGCTATCATTTTTAGTTTGTTTTTCTCTTTTTTGTGACATTCAATCCAATCATTTATCAGTCATTTTTATGTAATTTATTAATACTGTAGTTATTTTGATATATTTTATACTCATTTAACACATTTCCTTATATACAATGTATTAGAATATTCTGACAAATATTATATAACTATTTTATTTAAATATAAATTTATTTTAAAGTAATTGATATGTTTTAATTAATTTTATTGTACGAATGATTGATTTATAAAACGTTTTTATAATTTATTAAATAAATTTTATTAAAAATCTATAAATTGAACAAAAAATCTTTGTTTGGAAAACAAATTGAATTTTGTTTTGGTTTTATTTGTTACACATTTGTAATGCAAAACGAGAGAAGAGATTGTCTTCTTTATGACTTATGAATCGTGAATATGAAACGATGTGTTGTTTCATGAATTTTCTATTGATTTTATGACCATTTCTGTTAACCGATTGACAATATTGTGTACGAAAACTATGTTGTAATTTATATTCAATTATAAGCCGAGACTCGTAATCGTAAAAGCATTGATTAAATGATGATTCAATCATATCTATAATGAAAATTCTGTTCACTAGTGAAGAGCTTTGTTGCAAATAATCCCTCACTCTTTCCCTTCTCTTTATATACTTAGCTCTCAGTTGTTGTACAAAGAAATGAATGCTTGCATTACTTGATTAGAGTTACAACAGTGTACTAACACTACACACACTTTCTCTCTAATAAATTATTGAATTTAATAAACAAATTATTAGACGAACTCTTGTCTTGTTTTTCTCTGCATTTTTTGCTCCGAAAAAATATAACAAGAAATGAACGAAAAAATAAATAATGATTTTTATAAATATATCCATATTTTTCAGAATAGTTGTAAAATTAATGAATTTTATAGTTAATCCTTATTGTGTTGTTTATTTCAAAAAGATTTATATTTTATCTTATTTTATGAATTCTATTTTAATCTTTAATAATGATTGTTATGAAATGGAAATAAAATTTTCATAATTATTAATTAATGGCTTTTAGTTTATATATAGAAATGCAAATATTTATATTTATATGGATTTTAGTGAATATTTTAAAATTTGTTTTCAAATATTAAATCTATTATTCTTCTTCATATTATATGTGTTTTGTATACAAATGAGAGTCAATTGTATGGATTGAAAAAGTTATTATAATATTTATTATACAATAAATGCTAAACATTGACATTTGGGAGAGAGGGTGGGGTGGAGGATGAGGGCCAACAGGTTAACCACAGTTAGTGACAATGCGGTGATAATTAGCAAACAAACAATTGGGATGTATTACTAGTGAGAGCACCGGCTGTTTGATTGGCCGGAAATTATTTTATTCAAAAACCGGATCATTAAAAGTGTCATAAAAATGCATTTTTTCTCTCCAGCGCTTAGAGTCAGTAAACTTCTCAGCAAATGGTTTCATAATAGGAAAGAAGTAAAGCTCGGCATAACTTAATTTGAATTAATTAAATAAAAGCCTTTTGATTAGACTCTAAAATGGTAGTATTATATTCGGTGTAAAACTATTGTGTAGTGAATATAATATACGCTGAGATGTGATATCTGTTACAATAGGCTTTCAGCTCTTTTCTCTCTGTCTTTCTCTCTATATATTATTATTTTAATTATAACTTAGTCTCCAGAAAACGCATCACTCATTCGCTAAACAATTATTATTATGGAAACAAAACTTGACGACAAAAATGCCTCTAAAAATCTCTCTCCGAATTCATTGCCTTAATTGAAGAATATTTTGATTGAATTTATATTTAAGTTTTTGGTTTAAATATTTAGTATTTATATATAGTATCTCTCAAATGACATGTTATTTGTTGCAAATCTTTTGACTTTTGTGTTATTAAATATTAACAAGAATTATGTCTTAACGTTAAATATTCACATCATTTCTGTCTATTATTTAAAGCCATTTTTGATATTAAATTATCNTTAAATATTTAGTATTTATATATAGTATCTCTCAAATGACATGTTATTTGTTGCAAATCTTTTGACTTTTGTGTTATTAAATATTAACAAGAATTATGTCTTAACGTTAAATATTCACATCATTTCTAGTGTTGTAAATTACATGTAATATAGATTTTTATATTACATATTACAGTCATATGACGTCATATAACGTCACATAGTGTAATATAGAAAATACACATTTTGCTTAAATAATCCTAATTTAGAAATCATAGCTAAATTTACAATACATTCATCATTTGTATTGACAATAGATTATCAAAACACACTTTCTATGGCTATTTTATTGTGTTTCAATTAACTTTTTAAATAATAGCGTTAATTACAATATCATAATTGCTCAGTCAATAGGAGCTATATTACACTTTTTGTAATATAAAATTTTTATATTACACTTTACATGTCATATAACTGTAATGTAAAGTGTTATATGACGTCATATGACAGAACTCACAACACTAATCATTTCTGTCTATTATTTAAAGCCATTTTTGATATTAAATTATCAGCCGTTGTGTAAAAGTAAAGCTATTTTTGGCGTTTTTTGATTGAATGTGTTTATCACAGAGAAAGAGAGCAACGAATGATCGATACCTACAATATTCTCTAAAACTCTCCGAGTATTAGCTCTCTCTCTCTCTCTCTCTCTCTCTCTCTCTC